AGGATTTCCTTCTTTTTAAAGACTGTATAATATTCCATTGTTTATATGTCTCACTGTTTAAGTTGATTCCATATATTACATGTTATGAATAATGTTCCCATGATAATTGCAATGGACATGTATCTTGGCTTATTGGTTATAGATATTTTAGATGTACATGCTGTGTAGGATTCTTTAATATATTATAGTTTTATTTGTATTTATTTATTTTTAGAGGAGCCCCTGTGCTGTTTTTAATAATAAATGTAGTAACTTACATAGCTGTTCACAGTGTGCAAGGACACTTTTATCAACATCTTCACCACCATTTTCTATCACTTGTGTTTTTGATAATAGTCATTCTAATAGTTGAGAGGTGTTATCTAATTCTGGTTTTAATATGCACTATCATTATCATTAGTGATGGTGAACAGGTTTATACATTAATAAACCAATATAGCAATGTATATCCTCTCTTGTGAAGTGTCTGTTCTGTTCTTGTTCCCATTTTTCATCATGTTATTTATTGTATTACAATTGAGTTGAGTTCCATGTATTTTTGATATTTACCTCTTATACAATGTATAGACCAAATTCACCAATTCTGCAGGCCGTGTCTTCTCTGTATAGATTGCTTATTTTGCTCTGTGAAGTCTTTGGTTTGAATCTTCTTTTGCTTTTATTTATTTATTTATTTATTTATTTATTTATTTATTTTTTTGCTTCTACTGTTTATGCTCTTTGATTCATCTCAAGGAAAAAGTGTCTGAAGAATGTCATGGATCTCCCTCCCATGTTTCAGATATGTTAAGACTTAAAGGTCTTAAGTCAAACATGGATGTTCAAGCCTATAATCTTAGCACTTTGTGAGGCTGATGCAAGAAGATCACAGGTTTCAACCCAGGCTTAGCAATTTAGGGAGAGCCCTCTGAAATTAAAAATAAGCAAAAGAGGTCTGGGGATGTACCTTAGTATGAAGGCAATGCATTTGATCTCTGGTACCAATGAGACAGAGAGAGAGAGAAAGAGAGAGATCTTACCTTCAAGTTTTAATACATTTAAGTTGGTTTTATTTCTATGTATAGTTGGAGGTAAGAGTTATATTTCAACTGGTGTGTATTTCCAGTTCTCCAGGAACTATTTACTGAGGATACTCTCCCTGCCCCACTCTGTAGCCTTAGAAAATTGTCAAAATAAATTCATGCAAAAATTAATGGCCTTATTTCTGGATCTGGGTACTTTCTTATTGTTTTGTGGGTTTGTTCTTATGTCCTACTATGCTTCAATTACTTGATGCTGCCTTTTGATGCACAAAAAATTTTAATTTTGAGGAAGCCCAGCATATTTACTTTTGCTTTCATTGCTCATGAATTTGATGTCAACACAGAGCTATATCAACTGGCTGTAATTTATTCTTCAATTTGAGACAGGGTCTCCCTAAGTTGCCCTTAAAAGTTCACACTACATGATTCCCAAACACAAAATCTTGGAAAGGTATTTCTCCTTAGAATTGGAAAAAAGCACATGACAGGATGCTTTATTAGTCATAAGGGAATGAAAATCAAATGTACAATGATAAACATGATGATGCCACCACAGGCAAAAATGAAGTTGTGTAATTTGAATGAACATGGATGGATCTGGAGACTGTCACACTGAGCAGAATAAGCCAGACTCAGTATGACAAATACTGAATATTCTTTTACTGTGTAAAATCTAAAAAAGATGACAAAAAGCTTGATTGAAGTGGATATGAATGAAATATATATTGAAATATTCATTATGTGAAACTAGGGGTACCATGTAGCAGGAGTGTAATGGGGGTGAATATTATCAAAGTATGTTATCTATAAATATGCTGAAAATGAATCTATATAATGAATAAAAAGAATGAAAGTAAAGTACAATGCTGTTCCACTTAACATAAAAGAAGAGGCTATAATTTACAAAACAGGAAAAATAACAAGTATTAGCATGAATGCTGTAAGCGGACACAATGTAGTGAATATAAAATGTCAGCCACTGTTAAAAAGCTGGCAGTTTTTAAAAAATAGTTAAACATGTAGTTATCATGTGATCCAGCAGTTTTACTCCTAAGTAGATTTTCTAGATAATTGCAAGTAAGCACTCAAAGAACAAATGTACATGAAAATTCATGGCAACAGTATTTGCAATAGCCAAAATATGGGAAATACCTAAATGTCTGTCAATGAGTAAATGCATAAGCAGTATCTGCATACAGATGGTAGAATATTATTTAGAAAGAAAGGAAAAGGTTAGCATTACTGATAAAACCAGCAAAAACTGGGAAGGAAGGAATGAGAAAGGGAAGGAAAGAGGCTAAAGAGGAAGAATGCAAAAGAGGAAAGAAGGAAGAAAGAAATTAAGGAAACAAGGAAATAATGGAGGATGGAGTAAAAGGAGGGCATGAAGGAAGGCAGGAGGGAGGCAAAAGGATTGAACGTGGAATGTAGGGAAAAGCTTGAAGACCACAGGGAATGTAGGGGCATCTTAGAGCTGCCCTAGGTGAATGAAATGAGCAAGTTCTCACCAAGGAGTAGTTTTTTTTTTATTATTATATACTTTTATTGGTACGTTTTAGGCATACAATACATTTACATTTGTCATTCAGAGCTTGTACCTGTATGTGAGGTATCTTGGTTCTTATTTTTTCCCCATTTCACATTGAAAATCCAGATATTGTTTTTACAAAAAGTATATGGTAGCCACGTTTGAATGGTGAATTCTGTATCAGTTATACTTCATCTTTTTTTATTTACATCAATTTTTATTCCATTAAGTTTATTGGTACATTTTAAGTATACATTATGATCACATTCATCATTATGAATTTGTACCTGTACATGATATATCTAGGTTCTTGTTTTCCCCCATTCATCTTCCTTCCCTTCCACACATCCACCCCTCCCTATTTACAAAAACTTTGTTTTCATTTTTTTCTTTTCTCATATTTTTTCCTTCCCTTCTTTTCTTCCCTCACCCCCTTCCTACTTCCCTTTCTCTTTTGGACCATTCCTTCCTGTTTTACATTATTTATTATATATTTTGGTCCTCATTTACTCTTGGAGTTTCTCACACCAGAGAAACTATTTGGTATTTACATATGTGTGTCCTATTTATTTCACTTAAGAGTA